TCCAAGAATATTTGTAATAAACAAGAATGCAGTTTTGCACAGTATTGATCTAAAGTTTAAAAAAACTAGATGACAGCTTTCAGCTGACGGTTGAGATATATTTTACTGTAAAATGATGACTTAATTAAAACATACCTGTCATATGTGTCGAGCTAGATGTTTAAATTACAGGAGCATAATACTGTGGATGACTCTGTGTTTCCTTTGTGTTTGACGGAAGATGTTTTCACTTCAAAGCAGTGTGTGTGAACTGGAGCTTGTATCAATTATTAGCTCAAGTAGGCAACTTTAAAGTAGGCAACATGAAAAATGTAATTTTATGAATAATGTATAGGCTGAATTTGTAAATAATCACTCATAAGGTTCAATCTAAAAGAAAGAACTTGTGCCTTCATCATAGAAACATAATGTAAGAGATTAAACATACTGTGAAACGATATATAATTGTCAAATTATTACATAAAAATTTATTCCATAACATAGGTTGTTTTTCCAGTCATAGCAAGTCACATTTTTAAAAACGCCTTACTGTTGCGTAGGGCCTCTGATTACTGAGCTTCTGATATTTCCTGTGAGATTAGTTTTCTGATGTTTGACATTCATTTATATGTACAACAGAGAACAGAGAACTAATGTAAGTTCTCTGTTGCAGTTTTGTAAGCTCTTTTACTTCTACCATATTTCCCTGATGAAATTACAAAGGTTGTGTAGCAAATGGTTCAATGCACAAAATGTTACTAAAGTTGGCAGTTTTTAAAAGAAAAGCCTTCTGTGTAAAACATTCTTCCCTTTCTGTTTTTAGAAGCACTTTGGCTGTTTTTTATCTGTGATTAGAACCAGAATACATCAAACTAGTAATTTTTTTTTTCTCTGATGGGTCCTGCATTTTAAATACAATTAAACACTCGATGGATACTGTAGTGAGTGCCTGGCACCTGCTTTTACTGAGCAGATTTACAGTCTGTTAACTGAGGAAAATGTTGTTCTTTTAAAACAATGGATCTAGTTTAATTGTAAGACATTCCTAAAATAATGCCGAAACAATTCAAATCAAAGCTTTTAATTGCTGAAGACATGTACTTCATTATACCTTTCAGTCTGTAAAAGAGCAAAGATGAATATGCTTATTTAAGCTAAAGATGGTAGTTGGTGTCCCAAAATGTATTCTGACAACATTTCAGTTTGAAAACATTCAGGTGATGTATGATTCATTGCATTGTATCGTCTATAGTAGGAAGCATTTTCAAACTGCTGATTTTGAGCAAGGGGTTTGTCATCATTATAGCTGTTGCACATTTCCCATCCATTGTGAAGATTTACTTAAAGCTTTGGATCAGAGCCATTGTACATGTCCAAGAAAATGTACCATTTTGACCTGTGCAGTTTTGAACAATATTGTTCCGGGTAGCACACTTAGTTTGGAGTCAACGATTTCCATTTCACCTTTCTAAAATATGACTATGCATCTGTTTGGCAAATATGAATATTTCATACACATATGTATTTATTGTTAACCCTCTTTTGTTCATTTATATTACACAAATTCTGTGACGTAGCGAATAAATTCATCAAATAAAAGAGGTTGTGTTTGGTATTGACGATTACTTCCATCAAGCAGATTTATTAACACCTGATTGTTCATATGCTTAGATTGGCCTATAATTGGCATAAATGCACATAATTTTAGAAAGCACTTCTGGAACTTGTTATAAGATTATTTATACAATCCACTCTATACCAAACTTTAATAAATGAGTTTTGCATGAATCTAACAAAGCTAAAAAAAAAGACACATGAACAAATATTTAAAAGCACAAAACATGATGGTTGAGAATTAAACATTTCATCATACTATTACATCATGCTATGTTTATTTTATTACAATATCTAGCAGTGATTTAATATTTTCAAAAGGATGCATATTGTAGCCTGTATAAAATAATCTCGCAGGAAAACACAGGGCATAGTGTCTAGGTGTTTTCGGAATAGCTCCTACTCAGAATATAAGAGCTTCATCACAACAAAGCCACACTGGCAGAATCTGTCTCTGTGTTGTGTTGTCTATTTGCCATTAGAGGTTGTGTGCAGCAGTGTCATTGTTTGTTCAGACTTCGTAAATTCTCCTTCATACCTTTTCTTTGTGTCATGATGTTTTCCATCAAGGTGAAGGAAAAGTGCTCTGGGAGAGACAAACAACATTAATCTCGTCTCTTGTTTTGTAGTACTATACTTTCATGTATTCTAGTCTGATTTGCTTTCAATTTGTCTTCCCCTTCCCACCAACATTACCTCATGAGTAGTCAGTTTTAGTTATATTCATATATTCCGGATACACTATATAGATTCTGCTGTCTATTTGTTCACATTCTCACTCTATCCAAACTCTGACTCTTCTTTACTATCTATAAACTTTGATGTTGTTTGTGAACTTTTAATATTAAAAAAAAAATAAATATTGAATTGCATATAAACACTCATATAAGCCTTCTTCTACTTATTTTCATATCCAGTGTCGACTATTGGCACACTGTATATTACAAGAAAATTCCCCCTACAGGAATTGTGGCAAAAAAAATTGTTTCATAAAACTTTCAAAAGTTTTGTGTTCTTTCTGATTAACAAGATTTGAATCGACATCAGGGCAAGTTAAGCTTTCGCTTAAGATGTAGAGGTTAAGGTAGAGCCAATTTCCAGCTGGAAAAAGGCAATTATCATCCATCCATCCATCCATCCATCCATCCATCCATCCATCCATCCATCCATCCATCCATCCATCCATCCATCCATCCATCCATCCATCCATCCATCCATCCATCCATCTTCCGATTAATCCAGGGTGGCTTCAGAAGGTATTTGAACCAGATGCCCGAATCACCTCAACAGGCTCCTCTCGATGTGGAAAAACAGTGACTCTACTCTCACTCCCTAAACTTTTCATCCTGTCTCTAAGGGAGAGCCTAGACAACCGCCAGAGGTAACTCATTTCGTCTGCTTTTATCCGCGATCTCATTATTTTGGTCACTATCTAAAAGATGGCTGTCCAAAATCTGACAACTCTAACCCAAAATGAGTCCAATTTACTTAAGCTTCTTGCCCAAGGTATAGTACAAGTATAGGGACCTGGTAGCCCTTTTTCTGGTCTGCCATTTGAGTTCTCAAGAGGTGGAAAGGTTCACCACCAACACTATTTATTTTGGGGTTGGTTGACTTCTTCAATTCTACCACCATGTCTTCCAGGGAGGAAGTCTGGGGACTTTGGGTAAGGCTCTCCAATCTCTGGCACTTATGAAGTAAAATATCATTAATTGAAGAATACACTTCATAAGTACTAACTTTTATTTATTTATATTTTTGGGAAATCTTAACCCTCCTGTTATGTTGCGGGTCAAATTGGGCCGTTTTAAAGTTTTTTTTTTTTTTTTTAATAGTTCAATTATAAAAATCACCCATTGGGAAAAAAAATCAAAATGTAATATACAATTTTTTACAAAACATCAATTTCAAGGAAATTATTGTTTTTTGTGTCTTTTTTCAGTGGACATAAAACATATTAATTCCATGTTGTCTGTCCAAATGAGTAAACAAGCTATTTGTCATTGATCCTTTGTGAGAAATAAAAAAAACATCATTGCACAAATATTGATTGAAATGGTTAGTATTGGAGTTAATAATCAGATACAAAAATGTTTTGGTTTCTGATACTATTGGATAATTAAACACTCTGTGGGTCAAATTGACCCACAAACATTATCACTATACCTCAGAAACGGGAGGGTTAAATATTATTTGCAAAAGCAGAATATCTTGTATCCACATCCGAAAACTGTAATTTTATTCTAATTTAAATGTAGAAGTAAAATGAAAACAGGAAAATGTATAGTACATTGGAAAAAGGGTGAAGCAAGCACTAATATTTTAAATAAAAAGTAATCCCTAACATACAAAAATAAAAATTCTTTTTGATTATTTAGAATAATCTAAATTAATTTCTAGTAGGTTTCTTGCAACTGTAGATGAAATTACTGTAAACAATACTATTAAATTGTTACGGTAAGTTTAAGTAGTTTCAGTACGTCTCTACATGGAGTTTTGGTTGCGCTCTTTACATTTCAAACCCACGTTGCACAATTTTTTCTTGTATCAGTGATGTTTTCACTTTAAAATCCTTATAGAGATATACTTAGGAAACTAGTCTGTGTTACTTCATCACAATGCTATGTAAAGCTATCAGTCATATTTCCAACAATTTACCAACGCAGGGACTAAATCATATTCAATAAAAAGAAATAATGTGGCATTTATCTACGTAATATTTTGAAGTTTATACTTATTTTTCTCTCACAGTTTGTCAAAAACATTTAAATGCGAAAAAGTGAAACAATCTCAATAACACATTAAGGTTTAGTGCCCGCTCACACCTGGAAGCATATCTGCATGCTTTCTATTTTGAATTTTGATCCCATTGTAAAATGTGAGAACACTGTAAAAAATGATCCACTTTTTTCAGTGAATGAGAAGTTATTTAATAAAGTAATGACAAAAGGACATGTATTGGAACATTTTGTTTGTAAAAGTTACCTATGAATTTCTTTTTTTTTTTTTTTTGTAGTCGACTGTAAGTATTTTAAGACTTGATGCAGATAATTACGTGATTGATTACACCCATGCTGAGTGGTTATTCAAATTCAGTAGAGACGTGGAGTCGTGGCATTTTATTCTCCCAAATCAGAGAAACTGCTTTTCATTTATCTATTTTATTGTGTACTCAAAATCTTATATTTTTATTTTTTTGTTTTTTGTTTTAACTTTTTTTTTGTTTGCAAAGTGATATCTTTTACAGCTTCTGAATTGAGCCGCTCCTCCATTTCCACCTACCCTTCACCAACTCCTGCCTAATCCCCATCACCATTGGTTTATTTTTCACGTCAGTCAAAGGAGTGTGGGCGGAACTCAAACAATCCACTCGTGCTCCAAGCACTGTGGACCGTGCGCCACGGCAGACCAAGACCAGTGCAGACAGATGTACGGGAACGGGAACGTTTATCCTGCTACCAGTGGAGCATTCTTATCAGCGCGTGCTGTCTAACGCTGATTTAAATATATATAGATTCCAGAGTTCCTCTTACTGAGCGCACTCATCTGTAGTGCATCCCCGACAACATCCACATTAGTGCTTTTTTTTATTTTCTTTTAGAGGAGCGAGAATTTACACCACAAGCCAAACAGCCTAGGGATTGTATACTGGGCTGTGTTAACCCCGTTTCCCAGACACACACAAAAGCCACGCTCCTGCAGGTCCACCTGGATAAGCTGAGGAAGCCGTCCGGTCTCGGTTTGAGGTCCAGGAGGGAGACGGAGTGGAGAAATTAGCGCGGAAGACAGGAACAACAAAGAAGCAGGCAGGATGAACCTCAAGAGTCATTTGATTTTCACTCTCTACACTATTTATGGGATTCTGCTGAAAGGTGAGTCTGGGACGCGTGGTGAGTGCGTGGAGTGTGTGTGCGCATCAGGTTTTCGTGTGTGCGTGTGTATGTTTCGGGCCAACTGTGATAGGAAGATAAGGAGGGGGCAAAACGCGCTGCCACACGCGGGTCCTGGCAGACCGGTGATGAGCTGAGCCTTCTCTCTTTCTCTTACACGCGCGTGCACGGGCGCGTGCACACCAACACACGGTGTTTTCTGCTTTTTCTTTTTCTCATTGAAAACACACACGTGTGTTTGTGCGTGCTGTCTGTAGACGTTAGAGATGCAACACAGCCAGAGGGCAGCTTATGTCCCGTCACGTTTTGAAGTCCGTTCATATTGATGCATATCCGTTCGTTTTGATGCGTGAATAATTGAATAAACAGAAACCCTGGAAACTGACGTGCCGGACAGGGCGTTTTGTGCGCCTACGGTATCCTGTTCTGTGTGTGCAAGCTGGTAATGAAAACAGACACACCTCACAATGAAATCTCCAACCCCGCGGGTGTTTTTGACTTGCTGCTCCGAGATGAGCCCCGGAGTCACTGGAAGCCTTTTTACGCGCTCTTATCTGCTTGGATTCCTGGATTAAGGAAGAAGCAACCTTTGAAATATACTCTTATTCATGAGTGAGATTTATGTCACTTCCTTCTCGGGAAGCTCTGACAGCAAACTAACACACACACTAAACTCCAACAGTTCCATGAGACTGCTCCCTTTTCAATCTATTCAATAGAAATGATAATATAAATATGCCTCAGACTGAGCATCACTTAGCTCTTATTAAACATGCTGTGCTACTGTTTACTGTGTCTGAGACTTAAAGATCGAAAGGGATTTTAAAAGGATTTGCTGATATTGTGAGTGACATTCTGAACTCCTATATCCTGGTTTCAATAAATCTTCCTATAAACAGCTCCCAGCTTTTAGAACAGCAGGTGATCCAACTGTAAACAGGAGGGGTGAGGGAAGGGCTAGGGCATGAAATCAGGGGGGACAAGGTCACTGTTACTGATCCGCACAATTAACTTATTAACTTTGCATAGCTGTTCGTGAAATGGCTCAATGCCTTTTATTGTCACACTGAAGCAGTGATTGATTGAATAGACACAGAAGGACGTGAATGAAAAAGTGTGCATGTTATTGTTAGGTATTAGGTATATATATGTGGTTTCTCTATAAACAGTTGATAGGATAACAAATTACAAGTTTGTGAACACAAACTTACATTTTTGCACTGCTATGCCTTAAAATAGTCAATATTTTATTCTTAAGTTAGTGCTGGGAGGCCTGAAAGTGTTGAAGAGGGAGCAGAGAGTTCCAGAATATGGTGTACCAAACAACAGTGTTAGTTAGAATTTTATTTTTTATTTAAAGGATTCTAGCCACACAAAGGTATCCAAATATGAAGATATAGATGCATAGAGAGGTGTGGTTTCAAATTATCCACCAAACAATTAAAGCTCTTTCCATGAGATGCCAGAGAAACTGCTGGCATAATCAAAGTTTTCTTTAGTCATGTGGAGCATAGAGTAAGACAAGGCTCCTCTTCCCCACAAAATATTATGTGGACTGTTGGTCAGCTGGCTAAAAAAGTCTGATACTGTTTTCTTGTTTACAAGACATCTACATTTTGCTAATGTGAATTATTTCCATTTGCTATAAACAGAGATGGCTCCTTCACTAGTCTTATTAAGGTACCCATGATTTAAAACTGTAGTTGGCACGCAACAAGTAATCGAAACGTAATACTTTTTAGAGCTTTATAGCAGTCTATAGCAAAATGAGCTGGAGAACATGGATGGGGAGAAAGATGTTTGATTTTTGATCTTGGACTTGTTAACTTCACAACTTGACTTCTGACAAGTAGATGGATCCTAGTAGCATGTCAGGTTATAATATCCTAAGTTTATGTCCTGCTTACTCTAAAATCATATCAACATGCTGAGTATTTAAATCATTGTATCATGAATTTAGTAACATGAAAGACTAATTATCATCGTCTTGACTTCAACCACTGTTCTGCAAGGGAGAAATGGGAAGCGCCATATGAGAGTTCATCTGTGCTTGATTCTCTTGATCATTTGTTGTAGCCACTTTGAAGTGTATGTGTGTGTTTGTGTGTAAATGAGACAAAAGATCAGCCCTTTCTTTAGTAACCCGACATGATTGAGGCCATTCTTCATTTAAAGAATTGGTGTGTAATTAGCTATCTTAGGGTGTATCTAACAGCTTCCACTGCAGTATTTATTGATGTTCACAACCCTGTCTTCTCATTTCCACTCTCTTCACACACTTGTTAGAAGTGTGTGGGTGTGTATAATGCATGTACGAATGTATGCGAACATTCCTTCAGATGTGCACTCTGTTTGTATAGCTTATGTTTGAAGAGGCCACGTTGAAGGCATAACACACAAAATCACGCTGGTTTCTCTGCCTCCCTTGTCTTTACCCTGAAGAGGATAATACCAGGCTGCCTGATTTGAACAGTCATCTCTTGGTGCAAGACCTATTATTGCACAGGTTCAACTCAGCAGGTAGGTCAGCCTCTTTCCGAATAAGGTCTATCAAGGAAAAGACATGGCCTATCCTCACACTCTGTAAATGACAGCTGTTTCAGCCTGTTTGGCCTTGAGCCAGCTGGCATTGAGAGATCCAAAGGCAAATCTCTGTCGTAGAGCAGACCTGCACTGCTATATAGCGCCAGTGTGAGCTGTTGTGATGGAGGTCGTTGTTTACCAACAGCTCGAGTTGTTAACATATTATCCAGTGTGTCTCGTGTGCCCATGCCGTAGCCAGAGAAAACAGCCTGTTATGCAAATGGACTTCTTACGTAAGCGCTCAGGGCTGAGCAGCGAGCAAGGGGAAGTGGAGGCAGAGAGACACAAAGAAAGAAGTAGGGAAATGTTCAAGAATGGAGGAGTTGATGGAAACGTAATGTGGGAGCAGAGGTGTGGAGGAGGAATGTACAGTCTTCTCAACTAGAGTGTTTGGTGTGTGTGTGTGAGAGAGAGCAAAGGATGTGCACTGCTTGTTTGCTCTATGGATGCTTGTTTATCACCGCTGCTCTGTCTGTTTTCTGTCGCTTTGCCTGCTTGGCAGTCGGTTGCTCTGAACTCTGATCTTGCTAGCCTAAATACAAACTCCCGCTGAGGGATGTGTTTATTCCTGCAGTGAGACTAAGCTGGTGAAGGCTGACCCTCCATCTCTCTGTACTTCCGTCCATTCCTCCCTTGCTTCATCCTCCCATCCTGGTGTGGAGCTTTGTAGCACAGCAGCGTGGGAAAGCTACTGATAACAAGCAGCCTTGTGTGTGTGTGTGTGTGCATGTTTGCAGAGCTACTGATTACACAGGAGAAACAAGATGTTCCCTTTTTCTTGCTTACTTGCAATTTCCCTCTCCCTTTTTGTCTCTCTCTCTTTGCATCTGTCCATTTTCATAGACACCACATGTGTCCTGCACCTTATACATATACCACAAAGCTTTGCTGTATTGGGAATCATCTGGCTCAGTTTGCATCACACAGACATACACAGGTGAAGTTCCACCGTGGGTTCACTGCAACTCTGCCAAGGGATTTCCCATGATCAAAGCCAGTCTTTTGTTAGTCCAGGTGTTAAAAAAGTTAAAACAGAAAGAAGGCGGAGGAGGGTTGAGGGAAATGTGGTCGGATCCAAAGCTTACATACTTTATGTGTTAAACCAGAATGGCTCTAAAAAGAAAAAAATGATAGCAGCATTTTTGCTTTATGCACAAGGTAGCTGGTCCAGCTGGGCAAATTTGCTACCAAATGCACAGTTATGATAGGTTAAGACTCTTCTTCTGTGTAGACTTTTTGGTTTCGAAGGTAGAATTTCAATAATAAAACAAGGCTGTGGGAATGTTTTAAGCATTTCTGTATCTGAAAAATTGAAATGAAGCATTATGGACTAAAAGTAGTTAGTTTTATGTTAGTCAGAGGTGGTTTCTCATATGGGTAAATGTCCATGGCAGAATCTTATTATAGCTATCCATAATAACCCAATCTGCTTTTATTTAAATAAGAAAAGCACTAATTAATACATTGCTGCTGCTAAAATAATGTGTTAAATTGATTATTAGAATTATAAAAATGTTGTCACACCTGTATTTCATATTTTGATAAGTACTTAACGGTTGTAAATGTCAACAGAATTAACTTTCTGCAAAAAATGGAATTTGAATAGAAAAGAATGATCCCTTTATCTATCCTCAAAGACAAGTAATTACTTTTGATATTAAAATTTTAATTAATCATAGAGTTGACATTTTAAGTCATCCTTAGCATTTCATATTTACTATCAACAATGTTATAGAGGCTTGCATTGCTAAAATATCTGTTGCATTAACCCTGAAATTACCTACAATCCGCAACACAGATTATAGCTTTCAACATTGGCCGAAGGATAGCCAATGTTTATATATAGAGGCTGTAAGGGTTGGACCAATGGAAAACAAATGGGCTCCAGAGGGGATTTTCTATTTTTTACACAATACCTCATTGTAATTTTGTATAAATATTTGATTCAGGCAAATTATTGGTTAAAGGGTGATCCTTAATGCATCTAGATGTATCATAATTTTAACTGATATTCTCAATATTTACAATAAATACCAATATTGGGTTCCAGTTTTTCTAAGTACAGGTTGCTTTATGTTAACCAAAGCAGTGAAATACAAAAAGCTAACAGTGAAACCCATCAAGTACAGATCCAGCCTGAGCAAAATCCATATGGCGTCAGTGACAAGTGTTGCCTGAAATACTCCCTGATAGAATTTAAAAGCAAACAGCAGCCTAAAGCAAGCTCACTGTAAAACGTTCAGTCTTCCTGTCGTTTGCTTAAAGTCGTTTGCAAACTGAATGGAACGGCAAACATTTCGATGGGCCTTGGCATGTAGCTTTTGAGGATTCCATGTTTGAACACAAATGCATCAGCATTAAATAAATTATTCTTTTGAACTGAAAGGAGCACTGCTAAC